AAATTAAGGATAGCAGGAAAAATATTACTGGCCTTAGAAATGACATTCACTTTCCACTTTTCTTTGTTGAAAAGGTAAATCACAATGAACGTTTTTGTCATAGATTGAGAACTTATGTTAAATGGCTAATTTGGAGAACTTTGAATACAGTAAAATGGACATATAAATAGGGGCTAAAGTTGATTTATGTGGTACTTTAAGTCATGATAGTGTCAGGAGTTGAGAGTGGGCTTTGCAGTAGATATCTTAAAATCATTCACTCACCTTCAGCTTCTGAACTAAAAATGCAATGAACAGTAGTGGTAGAAGAAGGAAATACTAGTGTGTTAAATTTAATAAATGTGCTAATAATATCTTATGATGTGAAACTTATAAGATGTGCATTGGAAAAAAAAGTTTAATTTTTGGCTTAATTGAGGTACTTTATTTTCTCATCAAAATAAAGTTGAAAAAGGCTCTGCATAATAACATTTATATAGCTACAAAAAATGGGACAATTAGGAGGCTGCCCCACTCCCAGGATCTTGTTTGGCCTCATTGGGTATATGGAAGAAGAAAATATGAGATAACATATGTTTCATGTTACTCTACACTTCTAAGTCGTCACTGTTCCAATGAAAGTGAGTGATTTATCAGATGCTGAGCTGCTTCTTGGAATTTGAGGAGAATTCAACAAGGGTGGTATGGGAGTCAGAGTATGTGGGAAAGCCTGGCAAAAAGTTGTATGAGCCAATAAAGGATATGGGAGAGATTACCTTTCCTACAGGCAGAGATAGATATTATAGGAAAGAAGAGAGATCAAGAGGGATAAAATTTCCCTAAATTCCCTCAACTTTGTTATATAAGGTATATTAAATGATAGGAGGTTGTGAAGTTGTGTCTTAGTGGTATGTAGACCACATGATACTACTGAGACAATTATTTGGCAGAGTGAATTAAAATGCTGCTCTTTAAATAAAATAAAATGGGAGTCTCCAAAATAATGAGCTCATTTGTTCCCAGGCATTCTTGATCATTGACATGGACAGGTACAGCACAGTTGCTTACATATTTGTTGGTTGTGTCAGGGAATGAATGGCATGCTCTGCCAATTACTGACAGTATATAAGGGTCCAAGGGAAGTAGAGACCGCACTTCACCACATCCACTTGCAAACCACCCGAATTCTCTTCTCCTGACAACATGTGTTGCAACTACGGGAACTCCTGTGGCTATGGCTGCGGATGTGGCTATGGCTATGGATGTGGACCCTATTCTGGCTGTGGTTATAGAACTGGCTACGGCTGTGGCTATGGCTCAGGTTATGGCTGTGGCTATGGCTCAGGCTATGGCTGTGGCTGTGGCTATGGCTCAGGCTATGGCTGTGGCTGTGGCTATGGCTCAGGTTATGGCTGTGGCTGTGGCTATGGCTCAGGTTATGGCTGTGGCTATGGCTCAGGCTATGGCTGTGGCTGTGGCTATGGCTCAGGCTGGGGCTGTGGAAGAGGCTCCAGCTATGGATGTGGATATGGCTCTGGCTGCTGGGGCTACCGGCCCCTTTGCTACAGAAGATGTTATTCTTCTTGCTGCTAGATCACCACTCTCCAAGCACCACTAGCTTCTGAAATGACACATCTAAAGAGACAACGATTCAAGGATCTATACCCCAGGATTTCTATGTCCAGGAAACTGCATGCTCGACAGAGTCTTTGAGCCCCAGTGAACATTTGTTACAATGGCTTCTTGTGTCTGGAGGCTGTGTGGCATCATCTGATTACTTCCCAAAAGTTGGTTTTTACTCCCTTAATCTGGATTCCGTGTTGTGACTGTGCCAGCAATCTTAACATCCTACAGTCGGGCAAAAAACTTATTCTCAATAAAAATGGGTCCTTGCTTCTAACAAATCTCTGTGTTCTTGCTTGTGAATTATTCCTTTGTTGAGGTGTGGTGACCCCTCTTGAAAACTGGACTGACAATACATTTCATCAACGTGGGGGCACTTCCTTGATATAATATGAGCATTTCTTGTCACAGGTACATCAGAGATAATGTTTTCCCGACTTATGTCTTGTACCCCACCCCCATTCTGAGGGACTCACAAATCATACAGTGTTTTAGTACTGTGCCCTAGAAAATCACATTGACTCTGGAATGGAGCTGGAGGGGGAAGAGGAGAACGAATGACACCTATTCATGAGGTTGTGACAGAAGCCCAAGGGAGAGGAGGTGTGGCCTGAGTGCTGAATGGATGGATGAATAGCATGGGAGAGAGTGTTTCCAGAATTAATGAGGAATTAGAAGCAGACTCAGGAGACTAATGAAGAACTAAGGGAAGGATATGTTAGAGAAAAATGTGGTATCATATCATGTGCATTTTGATGGAAATATATAGATGTATATATAAATATATATATATATCTTGCATATATTGAGTTTGAAGAAATTGATTTAAATCACTTGTTTGACAAATAGCTTTGACTGTGACTGAAAGGGAACTGTCCTACATACTGAAGATATAGGAAAATTTTAGGTGAGTTTCCTTGTCTCAGAATGTTTACATTCTAAAAAGTGATAACAATAACAACAAAATAATTAAGATAGACTTATAGATAATTCTATGGAGGGAATTAAACAGTTTCCCAGGGGAAAAGAGTGAAATATTAGAGAGATAATTCAGGGAGGTATTTTGACATTTTGAGTCACATGAACTGATGTCTTGTATAAGAAACACTAGAAAGGATGTAGTAGCGTAAAAGAAGAGAAATGGATTAAGTTTTGGGCATGATCAATGGTGCCACAATTTTTAATGGAAACCAGCAAAGACTAGTGCTTAATGGTATGCTCTAGTGCCTTAATCAGTGCAGATATAAGAATGGGATGAATAGCCGAGTCTACTTTCTGAGTTTGGGAGCCTACCATTTTGCTGGGTTCTAAATTCAGTGTCCTTTCCTCATGTGACTTTCCAGATCTTGAACACTATATCCTATCATACAAATGTCTTGTCAGTCTTAGTTTTCTTGGGCAGTGAAAAATGACTCACGATTTTGTCTTCATGACAAAGGTTACTGCACAAAATCTGAGTCTGAGGTCCTTGGAGCTTGGAGCCTCTACCCAATGGCCAATTGCAAGGAAAATGGCTCTGCCATCAATGTCAGCCCTGGAGTGAGGCTATGCCTAGGAAATAATGTGTCCTACTGATGAAGAAATAGGGTTTCTTTCAAGATTTGGACAGTTTTCATGGGTGGTATATCTGTAAGTCAGATCTGAGGACTGAAATTGTTCTGGGTGTATCTGAGGTTGGGAAATCCCACAAAGAGGGCAATGGAATTCTAAATATTACAGTTTGCTGAAAATCTACTCATTTCATTATTTTTCTTGTACTTGAATTCTTTGAAACTAAAGAATATCAACTGTTAGGCATCTGTATCATAATTTATATCCAGTAAAGGGTCAATCATTTATTAGGCATGTAAGGTAATTTGTACATCTGGGAAAAATGTGCAAACACATTTTTTAAAATGTGAAATTTGAGACTCATTTAGTCAAAGAACATTTGAGACTTTCAGCTTGAATGAAATGAGACATTGTGAGAATGTATCCAAATATCTTCTAAGGGGGCACACTGACATTAGAACATATATTTGTTTTAATACATATATTTTTTATTGGAAAATGTTGAGTTCAAATTATGTACTAGGCATGCTACTTAGAACTAAGTGGTAATTCAGGGATGCACAGAATAATATTTTTTTTCTGCCATATGGATCAGTATGCAGAGTTCTGAATGGAAAGGTACTAGAAATTATGCAATCAAGACAGAAAAATTTTCCAATAGTTACGAGTATTGTGACCAGAAGGTGGATGCTTGAAAAGTAATGTGTCTATTTTAGGGAACTTATGCATTAGAATTTATAGTTTTGAATTTCAAGAATGACAGAAAAGTAGAGAAAATAAAGGTCAAATGGTATGGGATATATTTTCTCCAAGCTTCTTATAAGGGATGGAACACAGGAGAGTGATCAGATAGACCAGTGAGCAATGGAAAAAAAAGTAGTCAGAAGTACTCTCACTAAAGAAAGAATATCTAGGCATAAAAGTTCTCAGAAAAGGAAATAAGCAGCTTTATGAAAATCTTTGTTGAAAGCATTCCCTAAAGGACCAAATGCCACGCATTTCATTGTTATTGATAATAGAGTATTGAGTACAAGGAATCATCTTCCTGAGTTTGTACTTCTTTCCATCTTGAGTTTCATAGCTGTTATAGCAAAAAGTAATTTAAATTTAGAATTTTTCTGATTTGTAAATGGTGATTTAACTAAAACCTAGAGAACTAAGATAAGCAAAATATCCCAACAAAAAACCAAGCAAACAAAAGAATAAACATATTTTTTTCGTTCTTTTTTTCCTCCCTTCACTTCATGTCTGGTGATGGAATGAGTAGATATTTGGTTTAGTTGGGAAGAACAGGAATATTTGGAATTAGACACCAGTAAAGAGAGAACCCAATTTATTGATGTAAAGCTACACACCAAAGTTTCTAGGTTTCAGAACATTGACATTTTATGTTAGAAGTTTCAATGTTGTTGGGGACCATGGTGCGCCCTGAGACTAGCATTTCCCCATGTTTCTAGCACAAGAAGCCAGTAAGTATCTGCAGTAAGTATCTGGGTAAAAGAAGCTTGGCAAAGAGTTGCAATGATTCCAGAAAGAAGATGGCAGTTTTTTCCCTTCCCTACAGGGAGAAGTAGATGCTTTAGGAAAGGGCCAAGAGGGACAAAATTTTTCTAAATTCCCCCAAACCTTGTTATATAAGGTCTATTAAATGATAGATGTTAAGAGTACACTAAGATGTTGCCCCTTATATAAAAAGGAGTCTCTAAATAATGAGCTCACTTTACTGAAGACATAAAGATTATTGACAGTTGACTATCACATGAAAGTTGCTTTCATATTTGTTGGGTAAGTCAGGGAATGAATGGCATGCTCTGCCAATTACTGGCAGTATATAAGGGTCTAAGGGAAGTAGAGACCACACTTGACCACATCCACTTGCAAACCACCCGAATTCTCTTTTCCTGACAACATGTGTTGCAACTACGGGAACTCCTGTGGCTATGGCTGCGGATGCGGCTATGGCTGTGGCTATGGCTCAGGTTATGGCTGTGGCTATGGCTCAGGGTATGGCTGTGGCTGTGGCTATGGCTATGGCTCAGGGTGGGGCTGTGGAAGAGGCTCCAGCTATGGATGTGGATATGGCTCTGGCTGCTGGGGCTACCGGCCCCTTTGCTACAGAAGATGTTATTCTTCTTGCTGCTAGATCACCACTCTCCAAGCACCACTAGCTTCTGAAATGACACATCTAAAGAGACAATTGATTCAAGGATCCATACCCCAGGATTTCTATGTCCAGGAAACTGCATGCTTGACAGAGTCTTTGAGCCCCAGTGAACACTTGTTAGGATGGCTTCGTGTGTCTGGAGGCTGTGTGGCATCATCTGACTATTTCCCAAAAGTTGGTTTTTACTCTCTTAATCTGGATTCTGTGTTGTGACTGTGCCAGCAATCTTAACATCCTACAGTTGGGCAAAAAACTTATTCTCAATAAAAATGTTTCCTTGTTTCTAACAAATCTCTGTGTTCTTGCTTGTGAATTATTCCTTTGTTGAGGTGTGGTGACCCCTCTTAAAAATCGGGCTGACAATACATTTCATCAATGTGGGGACACTTCCTTGATATAATATGAGCATTTCTTGTCACAGGTACATCAGAGAGAATGTTTTCCCGACCTATGTCTTGTACCCCACCCCCATTCTGAGGGACTCACAAATCATACAGTGTTTTAGTACTATGCCCTGGAAATCACATTGACTCTGGAATGGAGCTGGAGGGGAAGAGGAGAAGGAATGACACCTATTCATGAGGTTGTGACAGAAGCCCAAGGGAGAGGAGGTGTGGCCTGAGTGCTGAATGGATGGATGAATAGCATGGGAGAGAGTGTTTCCAGAATTAATGAGGAATTAGAAGCAGACTCAGAAGACTAATGAAGAACTAGGGGAAGGATAAATTAGAAGAAAAATGTGGTATCATATGTGCATTTTGATGAAAGTATAAACATTTGGATTTTTAAGTTTAAGAAATTGATTTAAGTCACTCACTTTACAAAAGTTTTGAATGTCTTTTTTTACAAAGATATATTTATTTTATTTGTCAGAGAGAGAGAGGTGGGGGATAGAGAGTGAACACGAGTAGGGGGGTCTGAGAGAGGGGGAGATAAGCAGACTCCTGCTGTGCAGGTATCCTGACACCTAGCTCCATCCCAGCATCCTTAGATCATGACCTGATTCTAAATCAAGAGTTGGATGCTTAAGTGACTGTACCACCCAGGTGCCCAAGTTATTATTATTTCTGAAAGGAAATGTCCTACATACTTAAGACATACTGTAGATGAATTTCCTGCTTTCAGAGTATTTATATTCTAGTAGGTGATAATAAGAAAAACTAAGAATTAATTGAGATAAATTTAGACAGATAATTGCTATGGAAGGAATAAAACAGCTTTCTGGAGAAGAGAGTGAAGATTGAAGTATTAGAGAGATAGTTCAAGGAGGTATTTTGATATTTTGTGTCAAATGAACTAATGTTTGTTACAAAAAAAAAACACTAGAAAAGGCTGTAATAAGTGTAAAGGATAAAGAGAAATGCATTGTTTTGGGGATGATCAGTGGTGCCACAATTTTTAATGGAAATGAGCAAGGACTAGTGTTTAATGGTGTACTCTAGTACCTTAATGGTTGCAGATCTAAGAATGAGATGAAAGTTGAGTCTGCTTTCTGAGTTTGAGAGCCTACCACTTTGTTGGGTTCTGAACTCAGTGTCCTTTCCTCACATGACTTTCCAAATCTCTAATACTGTATCCTATCACATAGAATTCTTGTCAGTTTCGTTGGGCCTGTTTTATTTCCATGACCAGGGTCACTGCAAGATCTGAGTCTGAGGTCCCTGGAGCCAAGAACCTCTACAAAATGGCCAGTTTCAAGGAAAATGGATCTGTCATCAAACTCAGCCTCAGAATGTGACGGTGTCCAGGATATAATGTCTCCTACTCTTGAAGAAATAGGGGTTCTTAAAGAGTTGGGCAGTTTTCATACATGGAATATTCGTATGTCTGATGTGAGGACTGTACTCTGGGTAACTCTGAGGTGGGGAAATCCTACAAAGAGGAGAATGAAATTTGTATAATTACAGTTTTTGAAAATCCACTCATTGTTTTCTTATGATCCCTGTCCTTGAAGGCTTTGTGAATGAGGGAAGAACATCATCCATTAAGCACCAATATTGTGAATTTATATATTCATTCATTTATTAGGCATATAAGATAATTAATGCACCTGGAAAAATACCTTCATAAAGTAACACACATCTTCAAAATGTGAAATTTGAGACTATTTTAGTCGAAGAACATTTGAGACTTTCTACTTCAATGAAATCAGAACATTGTGAGAATGTATCCAAATATCTTATAGCTTCCAAGGGGCACACTGATTCTTGAACATATATTTGTTTTAATGTATCTATTTTTATAGGGGAAATATTGATAGACATCAAACTATGTACTGGGTACTCAGAACTAAGTGGTGATTCAGGGATGCACAGAATAAGAGATTTTTTTGGGCCATCATGGTTCAATACCCAGAGATCTGAATGGAGAGGTACTACAAACAATTCAATAAAGGTAGAAAACATTTTCAATTGTTCAGGGCTATTTTGATTGGAAGGTGGATGCTTGAAAACTAATATGTCTATTCTGGAGAACTTACGCATTAGAATTTATAGTTTTGAATATCAAGAATGACAGAAAAAGAGAAAATAAGGAACAAATATAGTAGGATGTATTTTTTGAGCTTTTTTTAGAGATGAAACCTAACAATGATCAGATAGACCAGCATCCAAGTATAGAAAAATAGTCATAATACATTCAACTGAAGGAAAAATGTCTAATAATGAAAGTTCTCAAACAAGGATTTCAGTAGAATTATGAAAGTCCCTGTTGAAGGCTTTCAGAAAGGAATAGATGGCACTGAATTCATTGTTGAAATTTGAGTGTGGAGTAGAAGGAATGATCTTCCTGAGTTTGTACTTCTGGGTCAGATGTCATAGTTTTATGGTAAAAATTAATTTAAATTCTGGATCTGCCTGTTTCAGAAAATGGGCATAGGTAAAACCTAGACAAACAAGATAAGCAAAAAATCATAAAAAAAAAAAACAACGGGCATGTAATACCTTCCTTCTCCTCCTCTCCCCTCTTCATTGGCTACATGTCTGGTAATGGAATTTTTGGATATTTGGTTTAGATGAGAAAAAAGAAATATTTGGAATTAGACATCAGTAAAGAGAGAAACTAATTTATTTATACCAAGTACAAACTAAAGATTCTAATCTCATCACTTGACATTTTTTATCAAATGTTTCAATGTTGTTGAGGACTATCCTCTGTCCTGATACTAGCATTTTCCCTGGCTTGAACCACAAGGAGCTAGTAGGTGTCTGCAGTAGGTATCTGGGTGCAAGAAGCCTGGTAAAATGTTGCAATGATTCCAGAAAGGAGATGGGAGTTATTTTCTTCACTATGGGCAGAGGTAGATTTTTTTGGGCAAGAGGAGAGATCAAGAGGCACAAAATTGTCCTAAATTCCCCCAATCTTGTCATATCAGTTACATTAAATGATAGGAGGTTTGAAGTTGGGTCTCAGTGGTATGTAGAGCACATAATTCTGAGACAATTCTTTGGCAGAGGGAATTAAATTGCTGCTCTTTAAATAAAATGGGAGACTCCAAATAATGAGCTCACTTTTCCCAAGACATTATTGATTGTTGACAGTGACTGTCACATGAAAGTTGCTTTCATATTTGTTGGTTGTGTCAGGGAATGAATGGCATGCTCTGCCAATTACCAACAGTATATAAAGGTCCAAGGCAAGTAGGGACCATACTTCACCACATCCACTTGCAAACCACCCGAATTCTCTTCTCCTGACAACATGTGTTGCAACTACGGGAACTCCTGTGGCTATGGCTGCGGATGCGGCTATGGCTATGGATGTGGCCCCTATTCTGGCTGTGGTTATAGAACTGGCTAGGCTGTGGCTATGGCTCAGGTTATGGCTGTGGCTATGGCTCAGGTTATGGCTGTGGCTGTGGCTATGGCTATGCTCAGGATGGGGCTGTGGAAGAGGCTCCAGCTATGGATGTGGATATGGCTCTGGCTGCTGGGGCTACCGGCCCCTTTGCTACAGAAGATGTTATTCTTCTTGCTGCTAGACCACCACTCTCCAAGCACCATTAGCTTCTGAAATGACACATCTAAAGAGACAATTGATTCAAGGATCCATACCCCAGGATTTCTATGTCCAGGAAACTGCATGCTTGACAGAGTCTTTGAGCCCCAGTGAACATTTGTTAAGATGGCATATTGTGGCTCTGAGGCTGTGTGGTATCATCTGACTATTTCCCAAAAGTTGGTTTTTATTCCCTTAATCTGGATTCCGTGTTGTGACTGTGCCAGCAATCTTAACATCCTACAGTTGGGCAAAAAACTTATTCTCAATAAAAATGGTTCCTTGCTTCTAACAAATCTCTGTGTTCTTGCTTGTGAATTATTCCTTTCTTGAGGTGTGGTGACCCCTCTTAAAAATCGGGCTGACAATACATTTCATCAATGTGGGGACACTTCCTTGATATAATATGAGCATTTCTTGTCACAGGTACATCAGAGATAATGTTTTCCCGACCTATGTCTTGTACCCACCCCCATTCTGAGGAACTCACAAATCATACAGTGTTTTAGTACTGTGCCCTGGAAATCACATGGACTCTGGAATGGAGCTGGAGGGGAAAGAGGAGAAGGAATGACACCTATTCAGGAGGTTGTGACAGAAGCCCAAGGGAGAGGAGGTGTGGCCTGAGTGCTGAATGGATGGATGAATAGCATGGGAGAGAGTGTTTCCAGAATTAATGAGGAATTAGAAGCAGACTCAGAAGACTAATGAAGAACTAGGGGAAGGATTAATTAGAAGAAAAATGTGGTATCATATGTGCATTTTGATGAAAGTATAAACATTTGGATTTTTAAGTTTAAGAAATTGATTTAAGTCACTCACTTTACAAATAGTTTTGAATGTTTTTTTTTTACAAAGATATATTTATTTTATTTGTCAGAGAGGGATAGGTGGGGGAATAGAGAGTGAACACGAGTAGGGGGGTCTGAGAGAGGGGGAGATAAGCAGACTCCTGCTGTGCAGGTATCCTGACACCTAGCTCCATCCCAGCATCCTTAGATCATGACCTGATTCTAAATCAAGAGTTGGATGCTTAAGTGACTGTACCACCCAGGTGCCCAAGTTATTATTATTTCTGAAAGGAAATGTCCTACATACTTAAGACATACTGTAGATGAATTTCCTGCTTTCAGAGTATTTATATTCTAGTAGGTGATAATAAGAAAAACTAAGAATTAATTGAGATAAATTTAGACAGATAATTGCTATGGAAGGAATAAAACAGCTTTCTGGAGAAGAGAGTGAAGATTGAAGTATTAGAGAGATAGTTCAAGGAGGTATTTTGATATTTTGTG